GTCTCAGTGCGCTCAGTTCCACGTTAATTGTGATGTCTAAAAGAAATGTGCGTGGATTCAGGCATACGCACAGTTTGATACATCTGGATTTATTGTGCATACGCCGTTTTCTGGATTTGACCGTATGTCTAAGAAATCCACACGACATTTTTTCATTCATTYYCCCAAACCACTGTGCTCTCACTTCWCAATAGTCCTGACCCGATGAAGAACATTCASTTGAACAGAGCCGACCCGATGCTCACCAGAGGAATGTAGTCTTTGTTCTCATTCTCACTCTCTCCCATAGAATCGGCCGACTTGCTGTGCGATCGGCACATGAATCCTTTAGCAGCTCGAGTCAGGAGGCGAGTCCTGCTGAGGGCCAGCCTTGGAGACGAGAAGAAAGAATCAGTGTTTAGGTTGTTCCTCAGCTTCATCAGGATCAACTAGCTGGTTCTGATTCAGGTTTAGATGTTTAGAATACAACCCAGTCCAAACAGACTTTATATGATTTATTTAGGGTCAGTATAATCCACTGAATTGTTATGTTTTTTAATTAATCTGTTCAGCCTTTCAGTATACAGCTATTCAATTTACAGTTTCAGCTCAGATCATCTGGAAACCTTTGTCCTTTCTGAGAATAACAGCATGATAAAAAACTGAGATTTATACATTTTGAACTGAACCTTTACCATGTTACATGGACAATAACTTAGGTGAAGCATTTTCTGTCCTGTAATCAACTGGTGCCACAAACTACACCTTCTCCTCCTAACCCACCTCCAGGTACCCACCTGGCAGAGAACAGGCTCTCCACAGATTTCTGGGACTGGTCAGAGGTCACAGATGGACTCCTCTGGGAGACTTGAAGACACGGAGGCAGACAGAGGGAAAATTAGACCAATGAAAGAAGCAGAGGTCTTTTTTCATTACCTGATCAAAAYCTAAATGTGAGATATTCAGTTTAGCAGCTGTTTGATCTCTCTGGTCTATCACCTGGTGTCACTCATTGTTCAGTTTGTTAAAGCACATCCAAAAATGAGACTAAAATGTTCACCTAAAGACTGCTGAGTCATCAGCAGCCCGTCTGATGTCATCCACCTACCTTCTGTAAAGCTGCATTTCTCCCAGCCAGCAGAGGAGGGGGTGCTGCAKGGAGAAACACCGTCCTCTGCACCTGAGACAAATCCAAAGGAAACTTTAAAAAGTGATTTTTTTATGAAACAACCCTTTAAAGCATAAAAATCTGCTATTTAGGGCTTTGCTTTTACCAAGACTCATCTGCAGTTACAGAGTTAACTTAATACACATGTGTCAAACACAAGGCCCGCGGGGGTGACTCCCGTG